TGAGACATTTATAAACTGATCGTTTTGTCTCATCAAATATCCTTTTGTTTCTGGAGTACCAAGGTGTTTATTTTGGCTTCTAAAGCTTTATAAGGACATGTAATTAGGAGAGTCATTGATGCCAACTTTATTCAAAACACCTATTTTATTTTACTGAGCGACTTCTTTGACTAAGATGCAGGATTACAGTGACCTAGTTGATTCTAGAACACCACTCCTTACAGAGGAGAAAGAGAAATGGAAATTTTGGAGGAGATGGAGTTGGTGAGGCTTGTATTTCATAGTCCACTTTAAAAGAAGCACTGTCTTCGTTTTCATTATACTTTCAGTGCAGTTGACTTCTGAAATGCAAATATCAAACTGTTTGTAGATTCATAATTTAAAATGGGAATATTTGATTAGAAATATAGGAGCGAACTGTTTGATTCTTTTTCATCTATTAATGATTAGAGTTTTAACACCTTAAAATAGCACACAACAGTTGACTATTCAACTTCTTTTACTATTTAGCATCCATCTCTTTCCTCCTGACCCGTGTCTTCACCATGAGATAGATCCCTTTGTCTCTTGTTTCAAAAATAAGAGAAAACATTAGATAACAACTTTTCAGGTTCTTGCTCCTCTGCCTTTAACTTCATCTGTGATGGCGGCAATCCATACTCCCATGTCAGAGAAGGAGGTGCCTTGCCCTTTCTCCAAGGCAGCCCAGCTCCTGTATTCTGAATTCATCCCCCGCTAGCTCATGTGGAACTTTTATTCTGATATTTACTCTCCATTCTATCTTGACTGTATCCTTGCATAAACCCCTTAATGTATTCAACACTTTGAATGCTATAAAATAAAAAGAGAAGCCTCCCTACAGCTTTATAATTCCCTCTCTTCTGTTGCTGTCTCCCTTCACAGCCATATCTTGGATAATTGCTCCACATTTTTCCATTTCCTTGTACAAATCTAATGTAATCTTCGCACCATTGTGTTATTGATAAGGTCAATCAGAAACTCACACTTGCTAAGTCCAGTGATCTATTTTCAGTAGTCGCTACCATTCTTCTAAATATCTAACTTTATAAATCACTGTTTCTCAAAACTCTCTTCTCTCTTGGCTTCCTTACTACTTCTCTCCCTGGTCTCCTTATCAACTGACGCACTGTCTTATTCCTTGACTTCTTTCTTCCACTTTGCTCATCCCATGAATGTTGGGACTCCTAAAGGTCCTGTGTTTGGTCCTCTTCTTTGTACTGCAAGAGCTACCTGGATGGTCACACTCATTGTCGTAACTTCATTCACCATTTGTTTGCATGCTGATTTCTCCCTTATCTGGTCTCTACCTAAGATCTCCTGCGTCTTCTCCAGATCCGTAAACACCCTGTTGGAAACTTACTAGATACAGGGAGTTAGGAATCAGGAGACTGTTGTAATCACCCTGATGAAAGATGATAGGAAACTAAACTCAGGAGTCTCAGAGGGGATAGAGAACCTGTGTGTTTACAAAATATAGTAAGGAGGTGGAATCTACAGAATCTTATATTCTATTCGATTGGGAGAGTGGGAGTGAACGAATGACTAAAGTTTTATCCTTCGTCACTTGAAGGTTTGTGGCTCCATTCATTAAGATTTGAAGTACAAGAAAATAAGCAGGACTTTCAAAGATGATGGTTGTATCTTTGAACATGTAGAGTTGGAAGTATCTCTCATATGACTAGAGTTTCAGAGAAATCCGGTTTGAAGATGATAGACTTGGAAGCAACTCTTCTATAGGTGGACATTAAATTCATAAGCGAGAACACAGCACAGAAGGTGAAGAAATGTGCTGATGTCACAGCTTGTCATAAACACTTCACTCACATTTCCCACCTCTTCCCTGGCTGTTTCTCCACATCTTCACATGTAAACTTTGTTGTAACCATGGCAAATGCCTTGACATTCTCTTACTGTGTCACTTTCTTTTTCCTTTATCTTCATACACATCAATTAGTGTCTGAATAGAATATCCCCTGCCCATCTGGTGAATTTTATCTTTCAAAATTTAGCTTAAATAACAGCTCGTCCAGGAAGCCATAGTCATTTTTAAGCATTCCGCTATCTATGCTCCCACAAGGCCTTACGATAGCACTTAATAAATTTTTTTTTTCTCTGACTTGAATGTATAGCACCGTTCCCACTAGACTGTATCTCCTATAGGCTTAAGAGGTGTCTTGGCAAGTTTAGGGCCAAAGTTTCCTATTTGTCAAGGTAAAAAGAACTTGTGGTGGAACGTTTTATAATTATAATGGCTCATTAAAGTATAATAAAAATAACTTAAAAACTAATGCATGGCCATGTTAATATTTAAATATGACATTTTAAAGATGCACTAAGGAAATGCTTAAGAGTTTTTTATTAGACCCTGAGCTCACCACAGAAAAGAAACAGTAAATTTAAACAACCTATAACCCACTTCATATTGCAAGTTTTGTTTTCGTAGCATAGTAAAACGCAGAGAAGTGATTGCTTTATACTTTACCACTAGATGGCTGAATTACATTGCTTTTGGAGAAGAAGTAAAGTCTTATTCACTCGAAGTAGCCTACCTAATATGTAGCATTTAACAAAATGTCTCTGATAAATATGTATATGCATTTATACATATGCACATATACATGCATACATATATACACATAAATAACTTAACCTTTGAAAAGTCAAGTTAACTGGAATTAAGAATTGTGTCTTAAAGACTTGTAAAAATTATAACCTTGTATGATTTTAGCTTTAATTTATAAGATGGTATATTTTGATAAGACATATAAAATGTCAGTATATTTTAAAATCATATTCTTGCACAGAATAGCCACAAATGTCAGCTCTAAAAGTTCCACCGATACCTTAAGGGTGAATTTAGTTCTGTTGAGAACGGGTATCTGTTATCAGATGGGTACATTCACTTTATCTTTAAACACAGTGTTTTGTAGAGTCTCTATTCAACTAGAGTTCAAACTGAAAAAGATAATACTCTATTTCTTCATTTAAATTTTAAGTTGTAAAACATTGGTTTCCAATTTTTAAATCTCTTTGAATCAACTCTTGGTCATAAGAACCTCTATTTTGGGCCAGGCTTCAGAAATATATTAAGTTGAACTACATGAAATTGCCACTTTCATATCAAAAAACAGTCAACTATCAGCAGTTTCATGTAGTTCAACCTAATAACATTTTCATTGTTTTAGTAAACTTCATTTCTTACATTCTTTGCAATGTCCTGAATAGTTCCTGTTGTTTGGGGCTGATAAGCCTTGGTCAGCTAAGGTTTGACCTGGACAATATTGTTTCTTTACCTTCCCTGTGGGATTTTGTGAAAGATACATGCACAGAAATGCAGCCTGACAAAATAACCTTCAGGGTAACAATAACCTTCAGAGTTTCCAAGTACCATTTCAGTGTAAAGGTACTTGTATTGCACTCGGAAAATGCAGGGTACATCTTTGAAACTACCACATACAATACATGCCTTAAGAGAACATGTCGAGGCTTATTTTGGTTATGTACTAGTTGTTGAAGTGATTGACAAAAAAAAACAATGTTAAATCATGGGTCTCAGATCAACATTTGTAATGTACATTTCTGCCTTGGAATAGCATTAATATAATCTAATTTGATTTTTGGTTACTTAGTGGTAATGTTAATGTTTACAATATGTGAAATTTTAAAACAATTAGGAAATACATTTTATATTTTTTTAAAAAAAGGGAAACTATCTGAAGTGATGTTCTTGACTAAATTAGAAGTTGCTGTCACTGAGGGCTCGATCTCTTCTTTCCATCCCTGCATCCGAACCCCATCCATAGGAACCCAGCTTCCGCTGGGGATGGGGGAGGCATGCTTATGACTTGTTTACTTTCCTGAACTCGGACAACAGATTTCACCCAAACATGTTGTACTCCTTGCTACAGGTGATCTTACCGATGTGTTTGGGGAATTTTTATGTCAACCTTATTTTAAGTCTTCCAGCAAAGTGTTGATTTTTAAAAGTACACAAAATTTTGTATTTGCTTTTTTTTTTTTTTTAATGCTAGTATAGTGAGGTAATGTTATAACAGTTTGAAAGTACACTGTTCATGGTGTTTACTTGGTAAACTTGCAGGTTAATTTAATTACGGAGGGAGCGGTCCTCCCTGAGAAATACTTGGCTGTTGTTAATGATGGAATTAAATAATATCTTATTTGTTCTGCTTTATTTCACGCATCAAACTAAAAGCAATGTTTGACTGTTTATACCTCCGGATTAATAATTAGGAGATACTTCTTAGCAGAGACATCTTACTACATTTGTTGATTTGGCTATAATGTCCTGTACATCAGAAAAATAATTAATTGTTTTGAGAAAATAGAATATTTCTTTATGAGATTAAAAATAGAGAACATCATTGAGGATTAAAAAAAAAAAATCCCTGCAACCACATTGTTCTTTCTTTGTTTTGTTTTTACTCCCTGTGCAGATTTGAAATGAGGCTGTTAGAACAGAACTTCATTTTGACAGGGAGATTATACACTTTATATGTGGCCAACTGAATATAATATGTCATTGAAATATTTCTCCATTTGAATTCATTAAAGGTACAAATATCTAGCATGGTTTTAGTCCCTACAGACATTGATAGAAAACATACAGTCATGATGGTTATACGTTATGCAGTTTCCTAACTTCTCCAAACAGATCTGGGATAATATGAGAAAGATACCAATCTTTCTTACTATGAATGACCAATTTATTTAGCACTTTATAGTCGTAGTTTTTAATTTAGAGTTCTTCTCATCATCTCAAGCATCTCTTTTGGAAATCAGGGCCACTTGTTAGGTCACCTAAAGGACCATTATAAATCAACATTTGCCTAAGACCATATTTGGAGTTGAAATAATATAATACATTCTATCCAGTTGAAGAATGTTGAATATGTCTGTTATAAGACTAAAGCAAACAATTTAAAATGACTGAATCTATCAAAAATTACAAATATATTTACCTATCAGTATTCTTCACATCAACGAAAGGACACACGAATGGGGTTATCCATTATAACGTTGGTCATCAAAGCAAAAGATTGGAAGCAAGGCATATGTCCATCTAAAAGGGACTGGTTAAATAATCTAAGTGCATCCACCGCATGCAAAGAAGTAATATGCTTCTCCTTAAAAAGAGAGAGAGAAGGGAGGGAGGGGTGAGGAAGGAAGCTCTGCATTTACTGGAATTAAATATTTCCAGGATAGATCAGTTTTGTAAAAGCCGGATACAAAGTTGTATACATTTCATGTTATCTTTTGTATAAACAGGAGTGGCGGTGGGTAAGTAATTATACAAAACAACACTGGGAAAGTATGCAATAAATTAATAGGAGCAGCTACCTAAAGGCATTGAGGTTTGGAATGAGCTAGAAAAAAATTACATTGACTTAAATCAAGTTCGGTAATGATCCCTTGTAATGAAATATGATAGTGGCCAATCCACTCTTCTATTATGCAGTTGCATAAAAGTATTGAACTTATGTTGAGGTCAATAATATTTGTTGACTTTGAAAGAAAACACACAAATTAGTGGCCACTTGTTCACGATCATCCTTCATTTGGGGGAACGGTAAGTAAAATAAAGAATGACATTTCCCATTTTCCTCTTGTTTTGTATTTAATGTTTACTTTCGGTAGTGTTTCCCCTCTTCACTCTCCGTAATATTCCCCTCAGGCCCTGTTCCTTGGACAAAATTAGTGAGCTTTGATTTTAAGGTTTGAAAAGAAGTATTATGTATGGTCTGTGCCTTTCAATCCCCAAGTATTAAAATTAGCTTATTATAGTCTGTTAAAGGATTACCATGCTATATGTAGGTCAAAGGAGAAACAAAAAAGTGTCATAGAGAAGACATGGATAAAGTAAGAAGGGGAGGTTCGGATTTTCTCATTGGGAGTGGATGGAGGGCATAAGGAAGGCTTCCTGGAGGCAGCGGTAATTTAGAGGTGCCGTAAAAGATGAATTGGATCATGTAGAGACGGTGGAGAAGTCAGGAGTGACACTGAAGATATCCTGACCCTGCCGTCACACTTGCTTTTCAAATTTAGTGTATCTTGAATGAGAGTTACCTTGGAAAAGTGTATCAAAGCTATAAATGGGTATGAAGATAATAAAGATTAGATGACAATAACTTTATGCTCTAAGTCCTCTCCCTGCCCCACTCTCATCACATCACGACTCCCACCACAATCCCTTGGGTTCTCAGAGCAGAATTCATGCTCCTAGCCTTAGTCATGGAGGAGCCGTTTAAGCCCTGGAAAGAAGGATGGCTCCACCTTTCCTCATTAAAGCTTGTCCATTCTGGTTTTTTGGTTTATGGCTTTTCTCTTTGCCTAAGTATGTATATACTCCATAACATTATTTCCCTTTAACCAAATAAGACAGGGGAGAGAGGAGATTAACCTTGGGCTGCAGTGAACTGGACTGTTTGGGGTAGGAATGGGGAAAACAAAACTACACTTGACTTATATGTATCCCTGATATTTTCTATTCCATATATTTTGCCCCTTTTCCCTCAATCTCAAGTTTTCTTGATTAATTTACTCTAAGAATGAGGAGCCCCCTTCTCCATCTCTTAAATATATTGCAGTGCTTGCTCTCAGGTTTGATAAAACCGTGAAATTGTGTGGGACTAGTCAGTTGTTAGTGTAACCTGTTCAGTGGAACCCTAGACAAATAACTTTTATGGGCTCCCACACTCATTTCAGTCCTTTGGCCACTGCTATTGGAAGCTCAGACAGTGGGAAATGAACTGTGGAGACAGGTTCAAAGAGTTGAAATTATGTTGAAAAAGCTGTCTGCCAAAAACCAATGTCTAAGTCTTAAAACTAAATAGTTTCTTAAATTTGAAAACTATTAACATGAATTGTTGAAGAGATTTGAGTCCAAAGGGAGATCAAGTATATGTGAAATTGCATTTTTTTAAGTTACTCTTTTTCAGTAGACCGTAACAAAAAAAACATGAAACCACAAGAGAGAATATCTCCCTGTCCTACCCAAATTTGGGCTCATTTTTTTTTTTAACAAAACCAAACAGAAAAATGAAACTGAATTAAAATGGTGAAAGAGTGAAAGATGGGTGGAAAGCTGAAAACACTCTTCAGTTCAGAGGCTTTAAGAGGGAAATCATAAACTGATAAGAAAGCAGTGGCTGATCTGACTGACCTAGCTGTCGAGGCCCCTAAAAGCCTTGGGGCCCTTGATTTACCCATCTTTTAGACTACTAAAAGGTGTACAGCATTCTTAAAGTAGGAAAACAAAATGCCTTACAAGTGTTACAAGAATGTTCAGAAAAATGAAAGGAATATTATTTCAATTAAATTTTTTTGTACTTTTCTTTCCAATCTTTTCTTCCCGTCTTCTGTTTGACACTCCCTTCTTAGAGAGAAAAAAAGCGTCACCTGTTGGCAACTTGAGCTCAAAAGAAGGCAATTCCTCTAAACTACCAAGAACTTTCTAGCTTAATAGCTGTAATAAGTACACACTGCTCTAGTTTTTATTACATAATAACTGTAATTAACAGTACTGATTATCTCTCGTCGTTGGGAGATGGTTAGTATTATAAAAATGAGTGCAGCTCTGGGAATACTTTTAAGAGGATCATTTGAAGAGAGAAAAATTTCAAAGTCTGACTTTCATGATAGTTCTATGCATCTACATGGATTCTTTTCCTCCTGTTTAAATTGCCTATTCCAACATCTCTTCAAATCTAGAAAAAAATATATTGTTTTTAAATAATTTACTTTGTATTTAACCTTTGCTTAGTGAAGACAAAAGCTACAAACATAGCAATCTTGAGACACAGAAAAAAAGTATCATATTTTCTGTAAATACATTTTATTATCCCTTCTGAGAAATTGTTTAAATAGTCACAGCCAATGTTCATGCCCTGTTTTTCACTTAATCACATTATTGGACACATAAACCTATTGTCATACATTTGCATTTCTCCTACCTGGATTTGCTGAAAGTGTCCCTAAGTGCTTGTTGTTGGCTGCTCTTTAAAAGTCACTACTTTGTCATCCTGGTGGGTTCTTCAGTGACACACAGTCAGAAGTTCATAGATGCTGCCGGTAGTGATTCCAGGAAGGGCAAAGACAGTCTACTACTTCCAGAGCCCTTTTGGGGTCGTTTTTGAACTTTATATTTTTTTTATACAAAGCTCTGCTGAATCATATGCTGGCTACCAAAAGATGATCTGCCTTCTGATTCATGTCCAGAAGAAAATAAATTTCTGTTGTTTTCCAGCAGTCAGTGACTTTTTGAGACGTGGATGGGGATTGGGGAATTCCATTTATTTGATCCCATGTGTTAATGCAAGAATGGAATGACACCTTGGCACAAGCACTTGCATTGGGATGGCTCACAAAACAAATCCTTCAGTAGTTTTAACTCATAAATCTAAATGATGTGTGCATTTTAGATGGAAAAATACTTTGTATCTACCTAAATAGCAATGTTAGGGAGTTACATAGAAGATTAGCTTCTTATGCTATTCTTTTGGGAAAAGCGATATTTGAAAAGATACACAATTACATGTGACTTTTTTCTAGATTTATTGATTTTTATTCTCTGAGTCCTTTTAAAATTGACTCAGCTGGATGTTTATTCTCACTGGGAGAAATATAGCCTTTTTCTATAAAGAGAAAAAGACTTCGTACCAATTCATCAGTCCTCCTGGGGTTTTTTTTGACTCACATGCTTTTTCCAGATTTGACAACACATATGTGATTATTTATTTTTCTACCCATTCCTTTGTCCTCTATTTCCCCCCAAGTCAAAATGTACTGTGAATGGTAGAATGTCCTAATTACTGGGGACTCTTTCACCATCATGACGATCTGATTTTCTTGACATGTAAATAATTAATTTACCAAGTTACTGAATCTTTGTGCCACTGGTATAGCCAGTATTTTCTTTATACTCCCTAGAGGACACACAACACTGGTGGCCTTTTCTACATGCTGATAAATAGTAAACACTCTTAAAACCAGGTCAGTAATACATTTGGAAAGTAATTTGGTTATAATGTAAATCCATGAGAAACTGCTACTAAATTTCCAAAGAGACTTCCTTTCATCTTATGTCTAATAGTTACT